AAAAATAAAAAGAAAATTAAGAGTAAGAGAACCGACAGTTACCTGAACGAGTGACGATTGATGAAGTGCTGAAAATCCTGTGCAGTCGGCTTGTCAGAACAGGCGGTAGGCAGAAAAGGTCCAAAATGTCAGAGCAAGTTCAGGGGTCCGAATGTTCTCTCTCAAAGTTCTCAAGTGTGAAAATGACTCAAGAAAATCCTCCCTTATATAGGCGAAGTGAGAAGGCGAAGGGTCACTTTCAGAATTCAAAATTTAGGCGGGAAAATCTCTCGACCTTTCGCCGACTGACACCTGTAGAAGGTCGTCGCCTGTTACAGTGCGACACCTGTCACAGGTAACACGTGACCAGTCACGTGCCACCTGTGAGGGGAAAATGATTAGGGGATTTTGCTTCCACCAATCGGAATGCGCCACGTGGGCCAATCAGGTCCTGCCAAGTGTCCCCCAGTTGGAACTGTCAGGGCTTGCCACGTGGCACGCGCTTATTCGTCCACCTTGGACCTATTATGTCATGACATGTGGCATACTCCATGCCTAATGGAGAAACCGGCCACCCAGGCCCAACTTCCGAGGGAAGCCCAATCAGCCCTAGGTTAACCTAAACCTAGGATGGGCACGTTTCCCAAGGTTATAAATACCTCCCTTAATCCTCATTAAGGGGGATTACGAAAAAACACATTAATTACACACAGTAATAACCGGCTGATCTCGCTAACAAAGCAGATTACCTACATTAAACACTCTCACCTAGAGAGACCTTATCACTTTAATTTCCGCATTAATTACTCCTTAATCAAGTACTAACTTGACCGTTGGAGGCGGAGCTCCCACCACCAGGAGTCTCCGTTATTTTGCAGGTACAGGCGTCCGGTTCCAGTCTCGGAATTGTAACTCTCCCGCAGGACATCAGAAAACCCCGAAACAGTAATGGCAGTGTTTATTTTTGTTCCGATTTTCAGCGGAACCTTTCATAGGAGTCGGCTTTTCCAGAGTCAATCGATCCTTTATCTCTATAAGGTTGGAGTAGTTGTCCTTGTGGAACTCGTACCTTGGAATGTACGACTTCCACTCTTTCTTTTTTCTTCTGGGCAGGCTGATCGGAGTTATCAACTGCCCAAATCTCTTTCTTCTTTTTGCTCTCATCTGGTTTTAGAGACAACTAAGCAGGCCGACTTTCCTTCTATCGGTCAGACCTCTTTGAGTCCGACTGCTTATTTGAGGAGCAGAGTTCAGTCGCCTGTATATAGGCTTCCGCCTCCATTAGGGCTCTTTGGAGGGTGAAAATTTTCTTGCGGGCGAGTTTAAACTTAGCTTGAAAGTCAACTCGTCCTTCAAACCTTTGAAAAAGTCTTTATAAGCCACTTCGTCAAATAATCCTTGGATTTGGATTCTCACCAGGTTGAACCGCCTGACGTATGATCGCAGCCCTTCTCTATCTCCATGCTGCACATGGCCTAGATCAAGGCTCATTTTATTTGCAGGGATGTTTATAGAGAAGTTAAAAGCAAACATGAATGCAAGCGTCTTGAAGATATTGATGCAACCAGTCGGCAGATTGTCGAACCACTGTTGGGCTATGCCCTTTAGGGTGGCTGGAAAGCAGCGACACCATGCGACATCATCCAACCCCTGTAAGTACATGAGCTGGGTGTATGCCAGAAGGTGGTCTTCTAGGTTAGTGATACCATCATAGGTCTCAACCAACACATTTTTAACCTTGGTCAGCTATTCGACCTCGTCTATTTCCCTAAAGAACGTAGAGGGTTGTTCCCTAAGGTTTTGTTGCCGAAGCTTCCAGTCCATAGGCTGGCAGTTATATGTCGCCTGTCCTCCGAAGAAGGCAGATTGGATGTAGGGCAAAGCAGGCGACCTGTATAATGGTTGTGCCATATACTACGCCGAGTTGATTATATGGGGCCCCGACTGGACAAGGGAGCCGCTTGATGGGGTCCCTCGTACAGATTGAGAATTTCTCACAGAGGTATTCTAAAATCTATCATGATAAGTCAACGTGGATGCCAACTCTAACAGCTGCTGGGTCTTCTTCTCCTTGATGTATTGTCGAGCATTAGAGAAGGATTTTTTTCTACCATCCGGTTGTACATGCTAGATGGCTTTTCTTGCCACCGTTTTTGGGAAACGGAGTCTTGAGAGGTCGATCCGGGGTCGAGCCTTATCCTTTGGAGCAGGGTGAGGAGTCGGCTGACGGTCCCGGACCGACTTCTGCATTCCAGGCTGAGCTGGTTTCTTGGCCCATTGTTCCTTTGTAGGAGTCGTCGACCGCTTGGTGATCAAATCTTTAATTTCACCCAGCTGCTAATGAATTTCATGATCTCATCTCGGGTGACTGGGGTTGATCCTGCCACCAGGGATGAATCAGCCGGCTATCCCGAGGGCTTACTTGGCTGTCTAGGGGGCCTGCTTGGACCCGTCTGGATTGCGTTGCGCTCCCGCCTGTCTTTATGACGGATGCTCTTAGAGATGAGACCCGTCCTGGGCCACATAGGTTTCGATGTCTCCATCGTCACTAGAGTCATGGTCCGTCTGGACCACCACTTCTTTTGGAGGCCGATTGGTCTCTAGAGGCGGCACAAGTAGATCTTGTGAAGCCATCTTAGAGGTACTCTCCCCACAGACGGCGTCAAATGTTTCGGGTGTTTTTATGTCCCTTGGGAGAGTTACAACTCGAAGACTGGATTTGACAAGGACGCTTGTACCTGCAAAACGAACGGAGCTCTGAATGGTCGGAGGTCCGCCTCCGAAGATTAAGTTAGTACGAAATCGAAGTAAAACGTGTGAAAAGTAAGTTATCTGCTCGGATTCTAAGCTCAGGTGTTCTCTGTTTTAGAAAGCAATGAATGCCTTAATGATTAAGACGTAAGTTCCAAAAAGTGTAAGGTCCCCTAATAATTGAGGGAATCTCCCTATTTATAGGGTCCTAGGAAAATGTGCCCTGCCCTTGGTTTGATGACCTAGGGATTAGGGTAGCACCATTTTGTGACGCCCCTTGGAATTTGGGCCTTGAAAGACGCCATTTCCAGGGGGCATATCTGAGTGACTCGTGTCGTCCATCTAGGGTGTCCATTTGGACGCCTCTTAGAAGGACACATGTCGCTCTCTTACTGGTCCACTTGGGGGTATTAAATACCCCAAATCACTTGTTTTTCCAAACTTTTTTTAGGTTTACAATAATGCTTCCTCCTGGAGGAATTTTTCTCCCTCAAAAGAAAGGGTTTCAATCTCCTTCGAAAGACAAGGGTTTTCGACCTCGTTCGAAAGGAAAGGTTTATCTCCTCTTTTCGAGGGAAGAAATTTCTTAGTTTTGAATCCATGATATTAGATCTAATGGATTTTTGTGAAATTATTTCGTCGGTGAAAACGTTATCAAGTTTTCAAATACAGGTTTTCCAATACAGACATATGAATCAGAATGAAATCATCCTCACGGCTACAAAGGATTGTTAGATTGTCTCTCCAACAATACCGTATATATTTTCCAGTGATATAAGCGGGAAATGTTCCAGAGTACAAGATCTACTCGACGATCGTAGTTTTTATGAAGGCAAAATTTGTTTTATTCAATATCTTATATATTTGTTAACGTCAAATATTTTTGTAGATGTCGTATGATTTTTAATTAATGAAATATTTTTGCTATTCAAAAAAGGAAATTATAGAACATAACACCACAAAAGGCCCATATTTTGATTATAACACCACAAAAAATACTTTTATTATAACACCATAAAATAACTTAAATTTTGATTTCACCACTAGTTTCCATCTAAAAAACCGTTAAGTGGGCCTATAATTGACACATGTTAATGATCTATTGCTTTAAAAAATTAAAATAAAAAACAAAGAAAGTTTTTTTTTATAAAAAATCTATCCCCTAACCCAGTTAGCCCCATCGCTGGAGCCACCTGCCTAGCCGCCGACACCCTAACCTAGGTTGTCGGCAACCCCTGCCCCCACCAAAACCAATGAAAACCAGCCCGACCACCCATTCTTGCCTTCCCACTCCCCGAACACCACCCTACGGCGTAAACCCAAGGCGTCAGAACTCCATCGTCAGTCTCCTACCACCAAACTCCTCTCCCTTACCCAGATCCATCACCGAAACCCTCACCATAACCCAAAAACTGCCTTACACAAACCTGTCGTCAAAACAGTCACCCTCACCTAAATCCAAAAGCGCCTTACCCAGATTCGTCGCCGAAACCAAATTGAATTGGGGGCGAGGTTGTGGCTGGGTATGTTGTGGTGCGTCGTTTAGGTGGTCAGCTTGGCTGGTTTCTTCGGTCGAGGGTGGTCGTCTGGGGCAGACGACAGCGGGGGTTGGGGTGACGGCGGTCAGGCCAGAGGGAACCGACGCTGGTGGTGAAGGTGGCGGTTGGGTTAAGATTTTAAGGTTTTTCATTTTTTATTTTTCTTTTTTTATCTAATAGTTAACTGATATGTATACAGTGTGGGGCCCATTAACGGTTTATTGGATGGCGTTAGCAACTGGTGGTGAAATCAATTTTTTGAGTTTGTAGGTGGTGTTATAATTTTATTTTATTTTATTATTTTTTTTTTGGGTAGTGTTATAATCACAATTTGGGTTATTTTGTGGTGTTATTTTCTAAAATTTCAAAAAATTATAACAATAACAATAATAAATTTAACTATATGAGCATGATGCCTTGCCTTAAAGTTTCGACCCAAATATGACCTGTCTATAACTTGACTAGACAATTGTACTCAAAGATTGATCCGACCCAAATTGTCCTGACCCGATTTTAACCCGACCCAAGCTTACCCGACCGAAGCGTTTACCCGATACCCGACCCGAATCGAATAATCATTGACCCGAACCTGACCCACCCAAAACCCAAATTGACCCGACCCTGACCCGAACCATGCCTGAAACTGATTGACCCGAAACTGATCCAACCTGTTAGTTCGAGACATTTCAGGTATCAGATTTGTTTGGGTCAAACAGTTTGGATCAATTTTGGGTCAGGTTTGTTCGGGTGTCAGGTCAGGATTAATCAACTCCATTCTCGGGTCGAGTCAATTTTGGTTTTCGGGTCATTTTCGGATCAATGTTTATGAGTCAATTTCGAGTCATGGGTCGGGTCGAATCATCGGGTCTGGGTCAAGATTGCCAGGTCTACTTGTAGGTAGGCCCGACCCGACCCGAGATATAGAAAGAATTTTTTGTAACGACCTGGCTCGAACCCGGCCATGGATCAGGTCTTTTTTATTTTTTTTTATTTTTTTTATTACAAGATGGATCAGGTCTAGTTACCCTTGGTTATCACCCATAAAATTGTCATCTTTACCTGTCAACCGTTTTTCTCACTCCTCCTGTGAGTGGCAAGTAAATTCCCAAATTTCAAACCTAGAGTAAATTCTCACAACAATCATTTTCCAAGAAATTCAAGCCGTAACATCTATGTATAAACCTTGAATTACTATCAATCCTTCTCAAATTAACTCTCTAATGGAGAACAACTACATTGTATCCTACAATCTAATTGAACAAGTTCAGATCTTGCTGAAGAAAGAAGCTGGTTTCGACTCTTTCGATTTCAACGATCATTCAATTGAATCTCCGCAATTATCCTTGTTTCTTGAAGAAGCTATTGCTGGATCGAATCCCTCTATTGATGCTTTGCGATGTAAGAATTGCAGCGGTGAGCTATTGCGAGGTTCTGAATCAATCACTTGCATTTATTGTGGGCATACCCAATTGCATGATATTCTCCGTCACCCAATTAGTTTCAATAATACTGTCGCATTTCAATGGTTTTTGAAGTCGCTTGATTTGGATGGATTTGTAAGTAAACTATGTTTTTCTAATTTTTGGTTGATGTTAATTTGTTTTTTTTGTATGATGTTATTGTGTTGAAATTGCATTGTGAATATGTAGTTATATAATTGAAAATGGGGTTGCAGGAAAAAGTAGGAATACCACTTGGTGATCATGAATCTGGTAATAGAGGTCGGAATTCTTTCAAAGAGGAGGAAATCTCGTTATCGGATTATCTCGATCTCCAGCTAAAGGGGCTGAATGATTCGAGGGAGTTCGGTGTGCGGAATGAAGAACGGCTTCCTAGGAAAATATTTTTGAGCTTGGTTGGTGTAGATATTGAACAAATTTTAGCTCAAGATTGTATTGAGCATGGAGTTAGTGTTGGAAGTGAACAGATGGTAACGAGTCGAAAAATAGGAAATGAAAATAGTGGAAATTCAGGAGATAGGAGCCTTAGTTTGTTTGAAAACACTCAGTCTACTGAGGCTGTTTTAAGGTCTAGTGAGGGTGAGGGTGAGAACAACGAGTCCTTTTCTGATTGGGGGGCTGAGTTTCAATCTTCCTTCCCAGAGTCTGGACATGAGAAATCAGCTAGTAGCTCAATTGCTGATTCTTTTTCAGGAAGTAATTTGACTACTTCTGGCAAAAATCTTTGGAGTAATTCGAAGTCTGAATCCCCTTTCAACCCTAAGGTATCTGAAGGAAATTTCGTGGCTGAAGGTGGTGGAAAGGCCACTGAGTCAGTCGACGCTTCTTTTGATTGGTTGCCAGCAGATCAACGGCCTGCTGTCAAAGATGATTCTCCTAATATTGACAAGGGAGATGGTGATGAATCTTTTGATGACTGGGGGGATTTTAGGATGTCTACGAGTGATAATGTTAGTCAATGTGAACCAAGCAGTACAACTGTGCCTGGTATTGGTAGTAGTGTTGGGCTGGTTACATCTGATCCGTTTGATGATTTTACGGATTTCGTGGTTTCTAAAGATATCAAACATCCTAACAATTCTCTGACAGATCCTGATAATGCTTGGAACAATTTTACATCACCAATTACTGGAGGAGAGACTCCTCTTCAGATCAATAAAACAAAGCAGTATGTTTGCACAGGTGATCTCGCTCCTTTGGATGGTACCCACTCAGAATATCAAGGTGTCAATGTAGACAGGACCCAGAATAATATATCTGATCAAGGTCATTCAACTGGTTTATGGAGTAATGATATGCATTTGGGTGTAAATAATGAACTTGGTCAGTTGCAAGGCGGAGAAAGAAAGTTACCTGTAAGTGGGAGTGCTAATGAATTTGGTAATTCATTTGACTTGTGGAGTGATTTTGCTGGACTTGGTGTTGAGAACAAAGAGGAGCAAGCTGTCAGATTCAAAGTGGTAGATGCGAAGGGAAACGGTCATCAAAATGATTCAGTGACCCTGTTGAATGATAAATCGCTTGATGCATGGAGTTATTTAGCACGATCTGGTGGTTTTCCTGACAGTAAGCGAACTACTAATGATAATATATCACCTGGGTTATGGAATGACTTTCCTGGTATGATATCTAGTCATGCAAATCAGCATCAAAGTAGCTATACAAGAACCACAGAAGATCAAGCAGTTTTCAAGGATGATAATCTATTTGTCTCATGGAGTGATTTCCGAAGCTCGGGAATTCCAACAGGAATTAGTTCTTTGGGACCGATTGATACCAAGAGCAGTTCAGATCAGACTGATTTCCAGAAAGCTAACAGTCTAAAAATGGTTGATGACAATAGCACATTAAGTTCATGGGGTGATTGTGGGGTCGCAAGATCTGTTTTACAGCAGCAGCTACAAGTTGCTAGAGCAGGATCATCTGGAAATAAATTGAGCAGTGAAGATGGTGATTTGTTTTCTGGATTTAGTGACAGCGGTAAACAGTACACTATTCAACCTGACAATCGACATCATTGTGATGGAGTTATGATACATGATGCTGAATCCACTCGTGAAGATGATGATTCATTTGGTGCATGGACTGATTTTACAAGCTTAAGTAATTTGCAAGGAAATCTTCCTAGCTCAGCTAATGCACCTGATGACAAGAAAGCTGTTGAGCATGGGGATCCATTTGATACATGGAATGTAATGGTTAGCTCCTTGAGTACACAAGTTGGTGAAGACAATGCGGTCGCAGCCTTTAAAACACCAGAATCAAACTTGCTTTCCTTGAATACAAATTCAAATTATGTGGGCCCTAACAACCTGATGCCATTGGACCTAAATGCTGGACTGCTCAGTCATCAAAATCGTTCTGCCTCAGTTGCATTTTCACCAAGCGAGGGTCCTGATTTGGTTAGGTATGTGTGCTGTGATCTAATTCTTCTTTTCCATGTCAGTCTATGTCTGGTTCTTGTTTGCTATAGCCAAATGTTTTCTTCCTATCTTATAACAACGCGATTGACCATGCATTAATTTGTTAACGCTTGCAAGCAATGTATAAAAAAAGCTCAAGGCGCATTGAAGCGAGAGGGATTCTGTTGCGCCTTACTTCGGTGATTGCCAAGTTACCCCCTCAGCCCCTCCTACTACCACAAATGATAAAAGCAAGCAAATGAAGTAAAATCAAACTAAAACAACTAAAAAGATGAAATACTAGATTTGAGGGAAATAAGATCAAAACACTAGGTAGAGGGGGTTCCAATCATGATCAACTAAGACAATAATGATGATTAACATGGATATATGCCAAGGAATATAAATTCTACCAAAATAATTCATTCCCATGCAATTGTTCAAGCATATTGATGAAATAGATCAACACTAAACTAGATCATTTCCATGCATCCAATTTAGTACTCAAGTAATGGAATTAAAGGTGCACAACAATAATTTCAAGCAATTTAAGGACAAAATCAGGTAACCGCGCCCGCGGCCTGTAATGTCGTGTCCACGGTGGTGTGGGGCGCGGGCAGCCTTCTACAGGTTCCAAATGGAAACTCCAAAACTCTTTTTTTCCGCGCCTACGGCTGGGACTACCGCGCTCGCAGTCCATAGGGAGGTAGCGCGCCCTCTCTAATCAGCATCTCTCCTCTCCTTAGCCAAACATTGGTCATCTAGCATCATCCTAAAGTGCCAAAAACCTACAAAACAAAGATAGTAAAGCTAGAAAACACAAGAAAAGCTAAAAGAAGAGGAAAAACACGAGAAAAAGCAAATATAACTAAAATGTAAAAATAGCTAGAGAAGGCGCAAACAAGTGACAAATGTGTTTCAATCCTTAGCAAAAAGAGGTGAAATAGTGGCATAAATGTCACTCATCATCTTCTAATTCACCATTGTTTAATTTTTGGGGAAGTTAGCTTATGACTAATTATTGAAGCCAACTAAACATGATTAGCGTATTGTTCTTGAAAGGTGACATAGGAAACAAATTGATGTTGTTAAAGGTCTTAAAATGTGACCTCATTTTTTCTTGTACTATTATTCTACGGAACTGAATATGAAAAGATTCATTGAGCTTGTAGTATAATAATTGTGGTATTGCGACAGTGGACATGAAGGAGGTCTTAGAAGGTTATGATTTATAAGGCGGATCTCTCTTCTATAGGGAGACTGGAATATCTCCCCTCATGGATTTCCGTGGGTGGCTCCAAGGAATTTTTTTTCAATTGGAGCAAGGAATTTCCGTGGTGGAGGGGGTTTTAGGGTTTTTACGTTGGTGGGGGAGGGTTTTTAGGAATTGGTTTTTGGAGGGGGGGATGGAGAGGAGGGGGCGGCGAGGGGTGGGGGAGGGGCGGCGATGGGCGTTGTGGGGGGTGGCTGGACAGGAGAAAGAGAGGGTGGTCGTGGTGGGGGAATATTTTCGTGGGAGATGAGGGTTTACCGGGGGAGTCGGTGGGCGGCTAGGTGGTGGAGATAGGTTAGAAGGTGGTGGCTGGTGGTGAAGTGGTGGTTAGGGAAAGGGAATGCAAAAGGCTAGGGGGGTGAGGAATCAATTGGGAATAAAAATGAGTAAACTCAAAAATAAATATGGGGAAAGAGAATGACAAAAACGGATAAACAAACAACAATAAAGGGAATGATACCCTTTCCCTTTGATAATTAACCCCTTAGTGTGAGTGTCACACTTTAGAAAACAAAATCTGTAACTTACATACAAGATTAAAACTAGAAAGGGAATTGGGAGATTTTTGTTGCAAATTCTTATGTGACTTTGTATTTGATAATTCATGAAAGTGGAAGTTTTTAATCAGTAAAAACTATTTAATACCAAAGTTCTGGAGTCTGGACTATTAAGACTTATACCATAGCAATTTCACATGTGCATCATGTGTTGGAGTACTAATAGCAAAGACTATTATTCACTGTACAACTCTGCTCTACGGCCTTACGGAGAGTAAGAAAAAAAGTGGTTTTTTTTTTTTTTTTTTTTTTTTTTTTTTTTTTTTTTTTTTTTTTTTTTTTTTTTTTTTTTTTTGGTTTTTAAGGGAAGGAGCATGTGGGGGAGATTGAAGGATGTAAAGTGCTAAGGTTGTTGACTGTTTGGCGTTGATGATGATCGAGCACCATTACAACACACAGGAAGTGTTCAAGGTTCACTCGCAAAAAAGGAAACTGAGGGTTCTAAATCTGACCTAGGGCTTTACTCACGATTTAGGAATGGCTTTGGGTATTTACAAATTAACTTCAATGTTACTCTCTAAATTTTGTTTAATTTGCCTAAATTAAGGATTTTGGTCTAACTTTGTTTTATAAAAGCAAGAGTAATTAAATTTGGAATAATATATTCTGGATTTTGAAGTTCCTAGCCAAAATAATTACACAAAAAAAGGAAAAATAGCTTTTTAGATATTACAAATCACGCCTATACTAATATAAATAAACCTAGGAAAGTTTAACACATAAGGAAAAAGAATAAAACGTACGCCTATAATGAATATAGACATTTAAACCAATTCTTGGTAGAAGTCTAATTATACTAGGACTATAGCTACTAAAATAAACTTGTTTTTATTAAAAGAAAAAAAATAATTTGTTTAAAAGATAAAAAAACCTATCCACATAGGATGGTAGTATCATATAATCCAACTGTAAAAACAGATTTTACTCAAAGTAGGACAAACATAAACACAGAGAAGCACATAGGGGTAGTATTATAGAGCTTTAAAAGGGTGGTAATGTCGAAAGGAAAAATTGAAATTATCAGTCCTAACTATTGTCGTTCTACTACAAAATTGTCCCATTATGTTTATCTTAGGTAGGGCCAAACTCAAAAGTAAAAGTAATCACTTGGAGTCTTTTAGACCCTTGCCTGAGTTATCTCTAACCTTCATTCACTTCCCTGATAGCGAGCCAGTAGCCATACTTCAGCTTCATCTCCATCTTTTCTTAAAATAAAAGGAAAAATGGAAAAGAATATCCCACCTTTGACATTTCTGCCGGAAACAATCCTACCTTTGAGTAATCTCAAAACAATCCCACCTTTTAACACCATCCTCTCAAAATAAACCTTTTTACCTGTTGAACAAGTTATTATTTTTTTCAAAATAATTTTATTCTTTATTCTTTCTTTTTCCACCTCATCATCTTCTTCTTTGGATAACCCACCATGAGCACTACTTGAACATTACCACTTTGCAACCCCAAAATCCTAACCCCACCAAACCTCCGTGGCTCCATCTCAATAACCGCACCTATCGAATGATCTGACCCTCCCCACCTCGAAACCCCTAACCCAGAATCCCACCTACCACTAAATTGGCTGAGACCCACCCCCATCATTAAACAAAACCATACCGAAACCCTTACTAATACAAGCACACATTAACCACCTCCACACTCATCCCCACCCTAAAATTTCATCCCTCCCAACCTGATTCCCACGCCGCGAACCAAAACCCCATCCCCACCAGATCCCGAAAACCGGCACATTGGCCAAAAATCCCACCCAAGTTTGAAACCCACCGCACCGGAGTAAATCTCACCCCATTTTTGAACACTTAATTACGCACTGAATCGAAATCCTACACTTGTATGCACTTTGAAACCCACCTCCACCGTTTCTATTGTGAGAAAGGGAAGGGTAGCTGCTTTCAACGGGGAAGGCGGGATGGGTGTAATGCCTGGCACTGGAGATTGTCCATGTGGGGGATTGGGAAGGGCGCTTTTCTTTTTTTTATAATTTTTTTTTGTTATTTTTATATATTTTTTAAGAAACAGACCAATTAAAATGAAACACGTGGCAAGTGCAAGGAATCAATATTAGGGGAAGGGTATGTTAGTCATAACCTATTATTAGTAGCTTGGAGAATAAGTTAGAGTTTGTTATGAGAGTTTTTCTATAAATAGGCCTCATTAGCTTGGTTTTAAAAAGCGCGAGGCGCAAAGGGTCCTCGAAGCCTAAGCGCGAGGCGCAAAGCGGAGGCGCGCGCCTCTTGGATACGAGGCGCACCATAAGTGCCCAAAGCCTTATAAATTACTTCTATACCAAGATATAAGCCTTAAATAATCAAAATAACATATTATGAATGCATAAATTAACAAAGGAACTACAAGATACCCTTAAAAGACGCTAATGGCATGAAACTCTTTAACTAAAAAGCAAATCACACATTCAACATAAAAAGTAAATCAAGTAGAAAGAAAAGCAAACATAGTAGGTCTTTAAGCGTGTTATATGGCATACTAAGACACTAACAATCCATCTCCTCATCCGATGAATCATCATGCACATCCTCCTCTTCTTGATAAGAATCACCTCCACTAACATCCTCTTCCATCTCATCAGTATAATTCTCATTATCATCATCATCTATCACAATTGAATGACGTGGTTTAGAAATGGAGCCACTAGCAATTCCCTTTCCTTTATCAACTTTAGATGCTCCTCTAGTAGCATAGAAAGGTTCATTAGCTCGGAGGCTTTACTAACTGTACTCCAAGTCAAGTCCTCCCCTTCAAATACAAAATCATTCTCCTCTGCCTCGTCTTCCATTCTTCCAAGTAGCCACTCATTGCTTTCATCAATTTCATTTAAGACAATGGGATCAATAGTGTCTTTCCTCTTGTATTGCCGTTGCAATGCATGATTATACTTTACATAAACCATGTCATTTAATCGACTTTGTGCCAATCGATGCCTCTTTTTAGAATGAAGCTGTAAAAATAGAATAATATAAGCTATATAATGTAATAAAATAAAAACATATTAGGTAAATCAATAAAAAAGAAGATACAAACCTGTTGAAAAACACCCCAATTTCTTTCACAACCTGTAGCCCTATAAGTGAGGCTAAGAATTTTGGTGGCAAACTTTTGGAGATTAGGAGTTGTTCCACCATAAGCCGACCACCAATCCGCCGGAGATTTGGTCTTCCTTTGCCTAATTGCCATTGTACAACCAAAGAGACTGGTAGCATTCTTAAATTCATCCAACTCTGCAAGTATTTTATCTTGAGTTTCCACAACCGGAACTAGCCTTTCAATACAATCATTCAATCCTTTCAAAACTTCCTCACAATTTACATTTGCGGAATGATCATAATGAAGTTCCGGATTTAGATAAAAACCCGCTGCATGCAAAGGATGATGAAGTTGATTATCCCACCTTTTATCAATGATCTCAAATACCTTAATGTAGTGCTCTTCTCTTAATTCAAAAGTCTTCGCTACAGCCTCTTTAGCTCATAAATGTATCCCATTGGAGGCTTTTTCTCCCCATCAACAAGTCTAAGCACTTTAACAAGGGGACTTGTTAGCGTAAGAGCATACACCACATTCTTCCAGAAGGTTGCTTGCAAAATATAAGTTGCAATTCTTTTTCCTCCTGCTTCTTTTTGCCACTTGGAAGCACTCCATTCTTGAGAGGTTATCATCTTTCTCAAGTTGCCTTTTTGCTTATGAAATTGAGCTAGTGTAATAAAAGATGTTGCAAACGTAGTATTTGATGGCCTATGCAAATTTCTTTGTTATGTGAACTTCCTCATCAAGTTCACAAGAGAGGTATGACTATAAATATAGCCATTGATGAACATGCACTACTTTAGTGCATTCAAAACTCTTGGTAGTTTGCCAATGCATTGATACACGGAACGCGGGACGATGGCGCGTTCTGTGAACCAGGACGCGTGTCCCGAAACGCAGAACTTACTCGTTCCGGTTCGTGGTGGTTCGCGTTCTGGTTTGTGTTTGATGGAGTATCCATTTATAGGCGAAATAATATTCTATTTTCTTGAGTTTTTTATATTTAATTAAAGCTTCAAGTTTTATTAATGGAGGAAAATGAAGCAAGAAGTGTGTAGAAGGAAGAAGAAGGTCATTGACGGCTGTAAATGACTCTAACCTAATTAATAAAACACAAACTGGTGGACCCTTCCTTATTTATCTTTTCTTTTTACTATTATTTTATCTTTACTGCCTAGTTTTTCCTCATTGTGCATCTGTTTATCTTTTCCTTTTATTATTATTTATTTTTAGTGCCTAGTTTTTAGTTATGTACTAATAGTAGTGTACAATATTTATTTTTAACAGTAGATTAAGAAGTACTTACTTTCCAATTTAAGTCCAATACGTTTAAAAGTCTACTAAAAAAAAAGAAATTCTAATTAAAAAAAAATTCAAGAACTAGAGCCATACGTTTCGGGAACTCTTTACCCTACATACCCCGTTCCCGTTCCCATCCCACGTTCCAAAACGTCCCACGTACCGTGTAACGTTGTGCCAATGTCTTCTAACATCAAATCAATACAATGAGCACCACAAGGAGTCCAATAAAGATGAGGTCTCTTAGATTCAAATTTTTTTTTCCTACAATTCACAAAAAGGAAAAAAAAAGTATTAAATAAAAACTCACAAAGAAAAACAATTAGTAAAATTTAATTGAACATATCATAAGAGTGACAAGACTATTTACTAATTCATACCGGCTTTGACATAATTGGATGCATTGTCCGTCACATCTTGAACAACATTTTCCTCTCCAATTTCATCCACCATCTTATCTAGAAGTTTATACAATAACACTGCATTTTTCACAACGTATGAAACATATAAGGATCTTATGAACACAAAACCCTTAGGAGAATTGACAAGAAAGTTTATAATATCCTTTTGGACAACCGAATCACGCCATCCATCGGATAAAATTGAACAACCTTTACTTGCCCACTCTTTCTTGTTCTCCTCTACTTGCATCTCAACATCTTTCACTTCTTTGTTCATGATTGGAACTCTAAGCTCATACATACTGGTGGTCTTAATCCGGGACCATATTGACCAATAGCTTCAATCATTGCATAGGTAGCCGCATTGAGTGGAATTCCCGCATCATAAAACCACTTACCAATTGTCCTACAAGTTTTCTCCCTTAACTCATTATCACAAGCACCAAAAATTCCTTTCCTTTCCTTCCTGGCTTGCGTCTTTAGGAGTTGAAGTGATAAACATATCCAAAGGACCTTTGTGCCTAGGTTTTTTAACAACTTTTTCACGTTTTGTGACAACATCTTCCTATTCTTCAGCAACATCATCCGTTTCAAGTTGGGACATACTTGACATCATTTGACTATCCACTTTTTCTTGAACTTTGTTTAGCATAAAAGTCTTAACTTCGTCCCTCACATGTTCGGGACATTTAGTGACATTTCTAAAGCCACCAACTAAGTGTTGTTTTAAACGATGTGCCCCTCCCGTAGTCACTTTACCACAAAAACTATAATGCCAATTAACTCTATTATTAGGTTTCGGTTTTCCATATTTTCTAGCCGGCTGATCCGGTGGAGGGAAGGGACTCTTCATTCATGTTCCTAGAACACAGTAACAAAATAAATATAAAATTATAAATTGAGAAAAACAAAAAAAAAAACAAATAAACTGGAAAAAAAAAACAGAACACAGAAGATAAATACAAGTATGCTAAATAAAAAACAAAATTTAAAAACACAGTAAGATAAATATAACAAACGACATACAGAGTTCCAAAAAAAAAACACAGTAAGAAGATATATACAACAAACGACATACAGAGTTCCCAAAAAAAAAAACACAGTAAGAAGATAAATACAACAAACGACATACAGATTTCCAAAAAAAACGAATAAAATAACAAGAACAGCAAGCTAACCTGGTTCTCGGCGAGATCCACCACAGCTCGGGTCGTTTCCAGCGAGAATCGGCGGGTTTCCGGCGAGAAACGGCTGAAACCCAACATCAGTTGGGTGGTTTCGGGAAGCTAGGGTTTTAGTTTTCAAATAGATATGTTTTCTCTCTCTTCCTTTTCTTTAATTAAAGTTTGTGTATTTTTTTTAAAAAAATATTACTTTTGGTAGCACGTGTCTCAAAATCGCCTCAAATCTAGAAAGCGTCGCCTCATAGCGCCTCATGCCTCAGCGCCTTAGCCTTGAGGCGTGCGCCTCCTTAATTTCGCCACGCTACAAGGCTGCGAGGCGATTTGATGGCCGCCTCGCTACGCCTCGTGCCTCCTTAACTTCGCCACGCTACAAAATTGTGAGGCGATTTGATGGCCGCCTCGCTACGCCTAGGCGCACTTTTTAAAACTAAGCTCATTAGGATGAATAATCATCATGTTGAATATTGTTGTGGTTTGTTATTGGGAGATAATGAGCCTCTCGAAAGCTCATATTAGGAGAGAATCCACCTCTCGAAAGTGGAAATTACCGTTCAATTAGCTAATATTCTCATCGTAATACTATAATCAGCATTTTTCTTCCTAATTCCTGCCATAATAATAAGGCTAAATTAGAAAAAAACACCTGTTAAAAGACCTAATTTTGTTTTTAACACCTTTAGATTTCGAAGTTTAATTATAACACCTGTTAAAAAATAAAAATTTTGCTTTCACCACCTAAATTGGAACAACGTTAGAGGATCTGTTAGCTGGGCCCACAATAACGGCTATATTTTCCAAACTGCTTTATATACTTACGACATCCTTCACTAATGTAGAATTGATGAGCTGATTACACAAAATTGCTTCACATTTTGCGAATTCTGACTAACAAATTGGCGAAATTGTTTGATTTTACCACCATTGTTTGGGGGACGTAGATATCAAATCAGGTAATTGCGTCAATAGCACTTTAGAAACCCTAATTTATCTTTCAAAAATAAGGCGTAAATTAATCTATATGTTGTTGACTTAAATGCATAATTCAGGTCGTATCTGGCAATAGTCATGTAATTCGTAAATAGTTAGGGTTCATTGTGTGTTAATTATGCTGTAATTTGCGAGAAAATGAAATTAGGGTTCATTGTAGAAATAATTTGGGGGTTTTGATTTGTAGGAGTGATTGTTTAATTCTCTTGGTTCAATTGTATTTTTTTCATAGTACGAATGGTTTTGCTTATTATGGATCGCAAATTGGTGCAGGAAATGTCTTCTACAAGTTTCTCACCTTCAAAGGAGAAGAAGTGCAAATGTGGTGTTCCCTTTGCAAAGCTTACCAGTTGGACAAGGGAGAACCCTGGTCGTAAGTTCAGAACATGCAAGTTCTACGATCCTGTAACTGAGAGCAGAGGTTGTAAAGCATTTGAATGGGTAGATGAACAAGATGGGACAGCCTGGCAAACAGAGGTGATCAACAATTTGTTGTTAGATAAGAAACTGTTGAAGGGGGAAATTAGTGATTACAAGAGGGAAGTTGATGATCTTGGTGGACAGTTGAGGTGTTTGCTGAATGAAGTGGACAGGCTGAAAATGAAATGCAAGGCTTTAAACTCTGACAGGAACAAGATGAACAGAGAGATGCATGGAAGGAATGCTAGATCGGATCACTCTGTTCTTAGTCTTGGTGTTGGGATTAGTTTGGTCATATTAGTGATCCTTCTTATTAGGGGGTTTGTAATGCATTAAGTATAACTTGTAATGCTAGTAATTGCATGAAACAGTAATATGGTAATGTAATGATTTATAAGTGGCAGTGAACCACTATTGCAAGCAAAATAATGTACACAATTATGAAAGCAATGAATTAAGTAAGTACCTAAGTAGTTGATATTGCATTTAAGTTGTTGATCAAATTTGTTGTTGCAGTGCCTAACAAAATTGGCTGGTAAAGCCTTAAAGCAAAGTATTAATTTAACAAAACAGGATCCTTGTCCTAAACCCAAAAGTAAAGCTACAAATATTGCAACTGATTGTTCAGAAAATACAACCAACAACTAAAGTTCAGAAAAACAATTCAAACATCATTGTGTCAGCCCTCCTTGTCTGGAAGTCAGCAGCTTAGCCCTCCTTGTCTGCACTCCAGTAGCATTGGGTTCAGGTTGGCTGGAAGAGGGGGTGGTGTGATGCTTGGCTTGTGGCTGCTCTTGTTGACTGTGTGAACCTTTCCTCTTACTCAATGGTTCACAGCCAGGTTGCTCTTGGGGAAAAGTACTATTCCCAATGCTGTTTGGACCAGCCCCTATTGCACTCTGTTTATTAAACACAAATACCAATAAACAAGTATCAACATCCAATTTCATCACAAATTTTAAAAGAAAAGTTAAATCCAACAGCATACCTTCTTAGCAGCTTTGATCTCCCTCTTCTTCCTTTGCTCAACTACCCAAGGTGAATTTAAAGGAGGCCTTCCTGCAGTTCTCTGCTCAGTTGGTTCAGGTTCATGTGGGCCCTTGCAAGTCTTGGGATAGTGGCCAAATCCACCACAAATCCTACACTGACTTTTCCTCCTCTTTCTTCCCTGCTCCCCTCCTGTTGCAGATGTTCCCTCCCCAGGTTCCAGCTTCCTCTTCTTCTGTTTAGGTCTTCCAGGCTGCTGTTTGAATGCTGGTGGATGAGGCTCTCTCATGTTCACTCTCTCCCAATGCTTTGGGCCTGGCATAGGTTGAATTTCAGGCTCATATGCTGCTCTGTAAGTGTCCATAGTGTAATAGGGGTGGACAAACTGCTCAGTATCAACCCTCTGATCCATTATGCATGCAAATGCATGAATACATGGGATGTCTGTTAATTGCCAATGATTGCAGGAACAAGACCAATTTGTCAAGTCAACTAGAACCTGGTCATCATTCAGCTGCACTTCATAAGTGTCATCCCTGGCAGCTTCAATTATGCAATTCCTAGCCACATAGCTCATCCTCTGAAATAGCTTATGCACATATGGAGTGATCTTGGTTGTGATTTCCTTGGAGTCCTCCCACTTCTCATTATTTCTCCTCATCATGTACCTCCTCATCCATTCCATTTGGGTGAGGATAGGTTTGTCTCTTGCATCTCTGATAACAGAGTTGAAAGTCTCACACATGTTGTTTAGTAACATGTTGGACCTGCAACTGTCACTGAATGCATGTCTACACCAGTGATGAGTGGGGATGTTCTCCAAATAATTGTAAGCATCCTCATCAAGCTCCCTAATCTGTTGCATGGCTATATGAAACTCAACCTACAACCACAACAGGAACATTATCATGAAAGAATAACATACACAGCTGTTGTTGCTCTTATTTTGCTTTTATACACAACAGGAACATTATTACATGAAGTAGGTACATGAACAGGAACAATATCATGCATTTACTTATTCAAAATAATTTAAGGTCACCTAGAGACTTACAAATGTTGTTGCTCTTGCAGCACTCCAAAAGAGCTCTTTGAAAACTGATCCAGTGAACTTCAACTTGAAATTTGCCCAAATGTGCCTAACACAGAACCTAGTCTCTGCATTAGGCACAACTTCAGACAGAGCTTCAACCAGTCCCTGTTTAACATCATCAACAATTACTTGTCACACTTCAAACAATAAAGAACAGGACAGAAAATAAGACTACAATAATCAAAACAATATTACCTTCTGCCTGTCTGACATGAAGGTGAAGCCTGCCCCATCTGCACTTCCAATGCATTGCATCAAGGATTCCAGAAACCATCCCAAGTCTCCCTGTTTTCAACCTCACAAGTTGCCCAAGCAATGGGGTAAATGCTGTTGTTCCCATCCTTAGAGACTGCAACTAAAATCTGGCCTGGATAACCTCCTTTCAAGTGGCAGCCATCCACCCCTATAATTGGCCTACAACCCTTCAAGAACCCATCCTTCAAAGGCCTTAAACAAATAAACATCCTCATAAACAAGGGAGGCTCAGGCTTTTCAATGCCATCAATCACAACATTACAACCAGACCCAGGGTTGTATTTCAGTACAGCCTTCCCATAATCCCATACCCTAGCATATTGATCTCTTGCTGAACCAAAAATGATCAACTTAGCTCTACATCTTGCCATCCAAGCCCTGTAGTAGGTCACTTCTACCCCCAAGTCATGAAGCACCCTATCCTTGATTTGCTTAACCTTCCATGATGGGTTAGTTCTGAACTCCTCAAGATACCTCTCAGCAATGAACTCTGCTGTGACCTTCTTGTTCTCCCTGCTTCTCACACATTTATGCTCCAACTTCATGGTTTTTATTTGCCAAGTCTGTTGTCTTTTTAACTTAGTAGCATGGATCTTGAAACTACACTTCACTCCACCCCTGCATATACACAAAGGCATCCTACTTGTCTTTGTGTCAAACTTGCACCCACACCTATTCCTACACTGAATAGTAATCCTAGTACTATCATTGTGTAAAAAATAGTACTCATACCTATTCTGTATGGCATGCACTCTTAAAGCTTTCCTCAACACTGTAGCATTGCTAAACCTAAGCCTATGAACAAGTACAACAGGCTTTGAGAAGTCAGATTTGTCATTAAACCATGGACTTTTGTCCTCTTCATCAGATGAACCATCCAAGCTCCTTAGGTCATCTGATTCTCCCTCAATTTCTTCTTGTAGTTGTACCTCATTCACATCCAAGTTATCTGTCAACCTTGCCTTTGGATCCTTGGAAACCCCCTCATCATGTACATCAAACTGCTTCCCAAGACTTCTTGTTACCTTAGCTAAAATTTCTTCAGAATTCTGCACAAACCACCTCTCATCCCCACTGTCATACTCCTCCTCTCCAGGCTCCCAAGTTATGTCAATCTCACTCCCATAAATTGAAGAAAAATCATCTTCCCTCCCAGTCTCACTGCCCTCACTACTATCCTCAAAAATCAATCCTTTGCCTACAGATTTTTTTTTCCCTTTCCCTTATCCAACACCTTCACACTGCCAGAACCCCTTTCAAGCTTAGCTTTACCCTTTTGTTTCCCCTTACTCAACAACTTCCCTTTACCAGGAACCCCCTTAATCTCAGCAGAAACCCCTTCAACCCTTTCTATCCCCTGTCTAGATCTAGGTTTAGGAGATTCTTCACCCTCCCTCACCTTAGGCTCATTTTTGTTAATTCTTGGGCTCTTCCTAACTACAGCAGGCTTACCTGAACTTTTCTTCCCCTTTCTCTCAGCCTTTACTGGAGTGGACTGGGCCTGGATCTCATGTATGGGCCTGAATGTTTCATTAGCAGTCACAAATACTTCAACATACCCTTCCCCATTCACTGTCTCCAGCAGCCCCTTCACTTCCTCTTCATTTACTAACTCCCTTCTCCCTGTGTTAAAGGTCCTACCTCTTTCTTTATACCAAAGTCTGTAGTTAGGTGGGACATGGACATTAAAGTTCACAAACCCATGCACAGCAGCTACCCTCAAATAATGCAAATCTATCTTATCCACTACCACATCCCTCCTCCAATAACATAAACCACCACACCAACAAAGCAAATGCTTTGATTTTGACACTTGTTTAGTAACAAAAGCACCCCCTACTCTAAATACTATATCAATTAATCCATCTCCATTGTCGGCCATTTTTCTACCTAATAAACAAATGCATAGCAAATCAATAAAACCCAACATAGCTAACCCCATTACACAGTCAACCGCAATACTTTAATCAACAAAATCAAACATATTTAAACCAACACAATGACAAACCAGTCAACAGTCAATAAAATCAATGATTTAAACTAAATAATTCACACATTACACCAAATCATACTTAATTTAATCAAATTCAACTTTAATTACAAATTAACCCATTTTACTGTTCTTAGGGTTCCTAATTTTTTTTCCCAAATTACCCTACTACACCCACACAAATGGCATAATGCAGCACACAATACTTGTTGAAAACTACTTTAAAGGGTTCGAAAGGTACCTGTATTGGAATCTTACTCCTGTTGCTGTCAGAATCCACGAAAAAGTCCAAGCTTTTTGGATGTTGGAAATGGCTGACGGAATCTCGCTGATTTGTTTCGCTCCAATATTGACACCTCCTCTTCCAACTCAATTTCTCAATCACAACAATCAGTATTGGAATCTTACTCCTGTTGCTGTCAGAATCCACGAAAAAGTCCAAGCTTTTTGGATGTTGGAAATGGCTGACGGAATCTCGCTGATTTGTTTCGCTCCAATATTGACACCTCCTCTTCCAACTCAATTTCTCAATCACAACAATCAGTATAGGGTTTGAATGTTCGCAGTAATTTTGGTTGTTCAAGATTTGCAGACAAAATTCAATGAAGCAAAATTAGTTGGGTGGTAATAAATGACAGAGAAGATAAATTCGAATTGAAGGGGATGGAATTTGGAGGGTAAACGACTATGTGGGCCCCACCAAAAAATTCCGTCACAGTTTCTGTTATCTGGTGGTGAAAGTAAAATTTTTATTTTTTAACAGGTGTTATAATTAAACTTCGAAATCTTAAGGTGTTAAAAACAAAATTAGGTCTTTTAACAGGTGTTATTTTCTAATTTAGCCTAATAATAATTAATAATGATAGTTATCATTATTAATATTTAATAATTCAAACTATTAAGAATTAATATTTAATAGTATTATTAATTAATAATTTCTAATAATTATAACAATTCTTTCAAAAAAATAAATAATAATACTGCCTCTGTCCCATTTTACTTGCAACATTTTCACTGGACACACTTGTCGATGCACATGTTTGACCGTTGATACATTTTATTATATATTTATATAAATTATAAAAAGTTTATATTAAGTAACTATACATTAAAATATACCCAACAACATCTTACATGATTACATTGACTTTCATATAATAGTTAAAAAAGAAGGTCAAAGGGAGATGTGTGAATAGTGCAAAAAGTCAAACCTTTGCAAGTAATTTGGGACGGAGGGAGTAATAACAATTAACAATTGATAACAATTTCTCTTAAAAACATTTGATATTAAAATCAAAATGTGTAGAAACATTTTATGTATGTGGGTATTGATTGTTATTTAATTGAGTTGAATTATTTTTCAAATCTTTACATACAATTTAAGAATTAAGAAAATAAAAGATTGATTTCAAGCAACACTTTGTATATCATTATTATTTTTAGGGTTAAAAAATATATGATTAAGACAATTTATAAGTAAAATCGTTATTACTCATTAAATCATTTTATTTTAAAATTTTTGTGAAATAAATATAAGTAAACCGTTATGTTTTTACTATTAACATATGTTAAATATGGTATACATATATTTATGTTTTCACTCATCTAAATCAATGGTATATGCACTTAATAATAGTAATAGTAATAGTAATAATGACAATAACATTAATAATAATAATAATAATAATAATAATAATAGTAACATTAATAATAGTAATAATAATAATAGTAATAATAATAACATTAATAATAGTAGTAGTAATAATAATAATATAATAATGATAATAATAATAATAATAATAATAATAATAATAACAATAATACAATCAACATCTCAAAAAAACCCTAGCCTCCTTTTCTCTCTTCTCTCTCCTAAACCTAGTCTCCATTGTCAATTTTAAAGGGGCTTCCATCGGATTTTCACCGGTGGAAAGCCCCAATCTCTATTTACTTTTAAGCTTTTTGTTTTAGGTTACAATAATGTCTCCCTCGAAAGAAAGGGTTTCTCTCCTTCGAAAGACAAGGTTTTTTCGATCTCCTTCGAAAGACAAGGTTTTTCATACTCTTTCGAAAGACAAGGTTTTATTTGTGCTTAATTTGGTCTCCGGTTGTGCGGGGCTACTATTGATTGTGGCTTGGATTCGGGTTACGGAATCAGCACAAGAATTTACTTTCTCACAAAATTGCGAAGTGACGATGGATCCACTCAAAAAGTTGTATGAGACAACGAATGGAAAATATGCCGAATTGTTATATTTATGTATTTAGATTCTTAGCCCTTCCCCGATTAATTCTTGTTTGATTTTGTTAAATTCGTTTTCATTATCGTTCATTGTCAATTGTAGATGCCGTATGACTTATATTAATGAAATTTAGTGTCCTCTAAGACTTTTTTCAAAAAAAAAAATAACAATAATAACAATAACAATAATAATAATAATAATAATAATAATAATAATAATCATCAAAATAATAATCATAATCATCATAATCATAATCATAATCATAATAATCATAATAATAATCATTATAATAATAATCATAATCATCATAATCATACAACTACTACTACTACTACTACTACTACTACCCCACTTACCTCTTATTTTATTCAGGTCAATTAAATTGCCTAAAACTATGTGCTGGAAAAACTGTAACGCTTAAAAAAACACGGAGGGAGTAATGCAATTTCTCGTATCAGATTGAAGTTAGGTGTAACTCAAGAAGACCTCAAGGAGGAAGAAGATCAGGTCAGTTACCCACCTCCGCGTTGTCATGTGATGAGGAAGAAATTGCATCACAAGAGGAAAAGATGGTGGAGGAGAAAGTATTTTCGAAGATTTCTAGATTTGAACAGTACTCTTGTTCCGTCATTAGCAGCTTCTTCGGTGCCGCGATGGTGGAGAAATTTGGTGGAGTTGCTAGTGGATGACGTGGTGGTCGAGGTGATCGCACCGGCGAAACCGGTGGTGTGCATTTCGCGAGTAGTGTTAGTGGTAATTTTGAGAGTAATGGGTTGAGAACTAAG